TACCACTTTGTGGCTGAGTTGCTGTTGTTCCCAGTTGTTCCACTTTGTTATAATACCACTAACAGGTGACCGTGGAATATTTAGGAGCAAGGAAATTTCACAGAACACCTGAATCCAATGATTTGGAGGGGTGTTCCAATACTTTTGGCAATATAATGTATATTATACAATCCAGCACCTATGTGTGGGAGAAGCAGATCCTGTCAATGGTTTGTTTTTTGATCATAGCTGCCAACTATTCCTGACTTTCAGGGACTGTACCTGATTTGAAATAATGTGTTTTTGCTGTTTTGTATTGTTGACCTGTTATAAAATCATTCTTACCATACTTCCATGTTATGTTTGTTGCTAATATTAATATTTCTTAAAACCAATGCTTCAAATGTACAGGTGAAACTCGAATAATTAGATTATCGTGCAAAGTTCATTTATTTCACGAATGTAACTTAAAAGGTGAAACTAATATATGAGATAGACTCATTACATGCAAAGCAAGATAGTTCAAGCCGTGATTTGTCATAATTGTGATGATTATGGCTTACAGCTCATGAAAACCCCAAGAACCCCAAATCCACAACCTCAAAAAAGTAGAATATTACATGCAATCAATAAAACAAGGATTGTACATAGAACAATATCGGACCTCTGAAAAGTAGAAGCATGCATATGTACTCAGTACTTGGTTTGGGCCCCTTTTGCAGCAATTACTGCAATTACTTTTGCACGATATTCTAATTATTCGAGTTTCACCTGTATAACTCAACTTTGTAAATCGAGTACATGCAAGTGTAAGAGAACTGTAAAAGTCCTTGGTCCTTATTGCGTGCATGGATGAGAGTGATATGACCAGCTCCAGTGTGTCACAAGAAATTGTTTTAGTATGTTGACAACCAAGCTTACAATGTAACCAAAAAACTTTGCAACTTTAATTCGATTTACCAGATGTGTATAGTATTCTTTCTCGAATTAGTGTCCTTTCACACCTTCACGTTCCAAATGTGCGCATTGATGCAACACGCCAAAACATGCAACACGCTTGCAGTGCCATTACTTGTTAATGGCACCCCAAAGCAGCCCTGAAAACAGACATTCTTCCCACACGTTTAATGTGCAACGCAATGTGAAAAAATGTAGAATGCTTGCAGCAGAATTTGATGCATGAGCTGCTTTGCCGCGCTTGTTATGCGTAGGCAGCCCCTTCACATGGGCTGACGTGTGGCAACTGCGGCAAAAAAGCTTGCAAACAAACATGAACCAATGCAAACACAACACACATTCCCAGAATAAGATAGTGTGAACAGAGCCTTACAATGGAACTCCAGCTATAAAAGGTCCACCATAACCCCTAAAGCCCCTAGGTCTTTTTTTTTTTACTTCTAGGTGGTTCAGTGATGTCACTTATTTCCCAGCAGTGGTGTAACGACATGTTATCTCCGCTCAGTTCTGAAGTATTGTGAGCCCACACTGTGCAATGACATACCCAGGGAGTGTGTGTCAATGACAAGCTGGGCTCACAGGAAATAGGCCGTATGACACAATTGTCTTTCTGGGTGAAGAGGCTTGCTGGAGCGGTGATAAAAAACACATCAACAGAGTTGATGGGGACAACATCAACAGAGTAAGTAAAGCTTGGGAAAATGTTTTAATAGAGGAGGGGGAGGGAACCCAAAAATTAAAAAGTAAAAGTACCACTAATAGTAGTATCAGGTGACACGCAAATATAGACCAACACCTGCATTATGAGCTTTACACATGGCACTGTGTCTACTTATGTACTCAGAGAATAGGATTGTATGGTAAATTTAAACCATTACACTTACTGTCTGCCTTGGAGTGATGCAGTATGGGTAATCAGAGGCCACTCCTTCATGAGGCCTCAGAACGACGGAAATTAACTTTTGTTCTGGAGAGAATTCCCTTTCTCGGTCATCATGATTGTCACTCACTTCTTCTGCCTCTGCAATCTGTTCCATACCATTTATATGCTGAAGGAACAAGACTTACACTATAATCCACATCTAAATAATAACATACGTTTCTATTAGTCTCCAGAAGTATTATTTATCATTTCTGGATTTGGGCCTACTCAGTCAGGACATGCTAAAGTGGAGCAGGAGTGGACATACACAGGTCCAGATTTATGGTGAATGTATGGTTTTGCCCACCCACCAAAGACATTACAATGTTAATTCTCATTTATTTTATATTATGCAGTTAAGTTGGACTGCATGGTGAGGGAAACTTAGAACTTCAGTTGAGATTTTTCTTTCTTATTTACAATTCTCAAGATATATAAGATGCTATGAGTTGATCAGACACAATGATAACTGTGCTGGCACAACCAATGTTGTTATCTGTCATTTTCTGCTGTTTTCATTACACTGCTGAGTATTCCATTGCTTAGCATAATGTTATGTATGTTCCTGACATCTAGTGGTAAATTAGTGTTACTACAACTTTTTCTGTATACATTTAGGGGGTTATTCACGAAAGAACCAAAGGTTCCAGCCGTAGCTTCAGCTTATCTTTTGGCTCTCTTCGGCTGAACCGAAGGGCTGCTGTACGGGTTATTCACTATAGCCCGTACAGCAGCCGGAGGCGGCCGAGCGGCTCAGCCGAGCTGAAGGCATATGCTTAGGCTCGACTGAGCCGATGTGATAGCCGAAGCGGGGTGAATGGGCTGCCGAAGGCCAGCCGTTCACCCCGCAAATGACAGCTGGGCAGAGCCAGCTGTGATGTCACGACTGGCTCCCTCCAGTTGTAATGACAGATCAGCGTCCCTAAATGACCTGGGGATGTTGATCTATCATTAAACAATAGCAACTGGGCGGAGACGGCTGTGATGTCACAGCCGGCTCCGCCCATTTGTTATACATTGGCAGGGACCTGCTAGAAGACTCTAGCAGGTAGCGGCCAATGGGAAACAGTTGGGCAGAGCCAGTTGTCACTACTAGCTCAGCCCAATTGTTTTTCTTTTTTCAAATATCTTTTTTCTTTATTTAACTATTTATTTACATTTTGTGAAAAAAAATAACCTTTTTTTTTTCTACAATTTTTACTGAATTTCTATTCTACTTAGTACCACGGAGGTACCGAGCAGAATAGCTGAGCCGAATGCTGCTCGGCGGCAATCGGCTATTCACTCACTGCTGTGCGGCCCTATGTTAACTGGGGTGAACGGCAGCGAGTGAGCTGCCGGAGCTTCGGGTGAGCTGATCCAGATGTTGGATTGGCTGAGTTGAAGTCGCTCTGAAATCAGCCGTACTGAATAGCCGAACGTCATTTGGCTCAGTTCACTTCGGCTCGGTTATTCACTCGGCTGCCTTTGGTATCTTCCACTCTTCTCCCCTCAGGTTTAGTGTCACTTGGTATAGTCCTAGATAGACTCTCTCTGCTTCTGCCATGTTCCCTCATTGCATCTCTCTTGCATCTCTGCAGTCTTCATTGCAGACACTTGGCTTGGAACATTTATTGTCTTTTTACACGTCATGTGACCAGCAAACATCCTCTTTATGTACTTTGAGAAGTAAAACATTGTTGGATTTAAGCTTCCGTGTCTTATTGGAGTGTTAGGCTGTCTGTGGATGGATCTTAATCAGCTTGTGACCATACTACCTGGAAGGATTGAGGTCCAAACGAGGTTTGTCAAACCATAAAGCGGCTCTTGAAACATAACAATAACTGAAACAATAACTTTGGGTGAGGTCACCCTTTAGGGTTCATTAACTAAGGGTAAATAGGCTGTTCACTTTGCAGGAGAATATAAAAGCATTGCCACCAGGTAGGATTTTATGCAGTAAAGACTTTGTGGGGTTGATTTACTAAAGGCAAATAGGCTGTTTGCATGGTTTGCAAGGGAACTTCCAGGGGAAGTTTCCCTTAGCTTGGTGAAGGTGGTGACATTTCACTTTGCAAAGAATACCCAATCATGTGCAAAGAAAATAAAATAACTTTTTTTTTTTTGCATATGATTGGCTGATGGAGATCAGCAGAGCTTCCTCTCATCTACTAAGCAAAGTAAGAATTCTCTTGGAAAGTGAACAGTTTGTTTGCCTTTTAGTAAATCAAACCCTTTATCCAAATACTTACACTGGGGCTTCTTAGAGAAACTGATGACCCAGATGTACTGGGGATTTTATCCCAGTCCTGAGATGAGCTGCCACTTTCTGGGGTATCTATACTGGAATCCACAATTTCATTCCCATCTATGTCCTTCAGAGGGAAAGGGTCTCCATAGAGCAGCACAAGGTCTACAAGCTTGGAGCTATCCTCTTCTCGGTTATATGTCTCCCAATCTAGGCGGATGTCTGAAAGATACAATATGACAGAAGTGATTTCCACACACTAATTATTAATAAATAATCACTTGCCATGTTCAATAGCCTATGGAAAGACTAAATAACTGAAGCTGTAACAGCCACATAGAACATTCGGTGTCTAAAAATGGACATCCATTGTTACTGCCTCCATTTATATACACATTACCTATGTATGCAGGTCATTGCTTGCTAACCTTTAAGCCAGCTAAGAGAGAACTAGAAGTCTTTGTCCTACCAGATGTTATGCAGTAGGACATGATGATTTGGATAGCAAATCTTAAAAGGTGATCTATGACATAACATTAAATTAACAGTTATAGACAGTGGCAGTATATAAACCAACATTAGTGTACAACTCTAATAATAAAACAAAAAAGCCTCAAATACTCACCAAAAGGACTTGGATTGTTAATACGCAAGCAGCGAGAAATGGTGTCTCCACCAGACACATGTGTGCCAAACCTTAAAGAGATAAAAACAGGTTATTTCTCATATTATTCCTTCATATATAATTTTATTATACCATTAAAATCCTGCCCACCAGTAACATGGGTACTAGTAATCAGTCTGATTTAATGAAGTAAGACGGAGTGAACCCCATGGTCCCTGTGTGTGTTGTAAAGTAGTCACCGCTCCAAGCTCGCTCCCAAGATGGACTACAATCTCACATCTAGTTTACTAATTTGTATTGAGATTGCAGTTCATCACGGGGGAGCGGTGGCTACTTTAAAAACACACACAGGGACCATGGGGAACAAAAGTGGCCCCCCTCCAGAAGGAAGGACAGTGTCAGCACCAATTCAGAGATGATTTGAGGATCTAAGGCCAAGTGATACACAAATAAGATACATTTTTGTTGAAAGTTAAGGAACTCAAATGTATTTCTGAGATTTAACTCCTGAGTTCGTTGTCTTTTTAAATGTCCTATGAGGGCAGCTGGATGTGACATGTCATATGGCATGTGTCATGTTACTATGGAGTAACATTAGAGAGTGGCAATAGCTATCAGTACAAGTTTTGTAACCATTGATTGTTCTCCCCAAAAGTGGTTGTGTGATGGTCAGTCAGCAAAACTACAGATATAAAATCATGTTTGGATCCAGCCAAAAACCGCAAGATCCGGAAAATGTTATCTCATGTTTTTGGGTAGCTGTAGCTTTGTGTCTTACTCCCATTTCTGCTGCAACAACTTACAATTAGGTCTTGCACTTTTGAGCAATAGTAGATGCAGCTGATCAAAAGTGGACATGCGCATTACCTTAATGCAGGCCCTTCTGTCTGCCGGTTAGGTCTTGGTCCTGTCATTTGGAAGTAGAGGGGACATCCCTTTACAGTCATTTTCAAAGGGATCTCCTTAGGGTTTAGATCTCCAACCTAAAAACAAAAATGTAAAGAGTTGATTTGCATCATCAGTAAAACCCTGAACTGCAGAGACCAAAATGTAATTCATAATATTCATTATTCTATATATCCCTCATTGTTTATTTCTTTTATGTTCAATAGAGAAACACCATATTTTATTAATTAGCTATTTAAGAGTGTTGCTAGGGCCCCTCCTGGGTATTGAACTAACTGGCTTTCAAGAATATGTGTGATTGGAAGAGAGCTACTAGACAAATCTGCATGTAGAATTGGGACCCTGGTAAATCTCATTATGATTTACATTCAAATGTATACTTCACTGTGGCGGATATTTGTGGGCTGTTTGGCCATTGTATGACCCACCAGGGTGAAATCAAAGGGACCTTTTATCCTCATGCTATTCAGTGATTTAACATCTAATTTAAAACATCTCAACTTCAATGTAATTGCCAGCAATAGGTTACACTGTCCAGTAGCACGAGATTAAAACTACCACCTAGAATTGTGTAAAATAGATTATCTGCACTATGATGATTACTGATTTAGCTCGCCTCTATTTAGGCCTTTGGCACACAAAGAAACACATACTGTACAGACAAACTGTTCTGAATACAGAATACACATAAAGAAACACATACCGTACAGACAAGATGATCTGAATACTCTCCCCACATGTTGTTGTAAGCAATCACATCAATGGATATCTGATGGAATGGCCCAAGTATTCCTGAACATGGCTGAGCAATAAAAGCAGCCCCTTTCTCATTTGATAATATTAATGCTCTTGTATCTGTAAGCATGCCACAGATTATATATTAGCTTTTTTCTTTTTTCCAATATATCACAAAAATTATTATAGCTTATACTACATTTAAAGAGACAGTGTGACCATACAGGATATGGTGAGAAGGGACTAAAGGTATCTAAAAGACCTCTAACCAGATCAGTGTTATATGGGATGGATGGAATAGGACCCGTGCTGTTGCTTTACTCTACTACACTCTGCATTTAAAGGACATCTATAGTTTTTACAATGAAAAGCTAATAAAGAGCTCCCATTCAAACAGGTTTCATTAAAGGGAACATTTGTGTCAGGTGATCTTGTATGGCTATAAGTGATAACAAACATCTGTCTTCCAATGCAGTAAAAATTCAGAGTTAGGACTTACCGGTAACTCTATTTCCATTAGTCTTCCAGGACAGCACTGATTATACAATAATGTTAATTAGTTTAGATTTATATTTTTTTTACAGACCTCCCATTTGTGACTGGTCCTCCCTTTTCAATATTGTATTTATAAACAACAGCTGAAAATGAAGCTATGTTGACTGTGTGGGCAGAAAAGCAGGCATTTACTGGTCCCTCTGAGGCATGTACAGCCTCTCTTCCCAAAAGTGAGGTTCATAATGCAGGTTAAGTGATTGGGGTTGACTTACTAAAGGCAAATAGGTTGTTCACTTTGCATGGGAATTTGCACACTGCAGGGGGAAGTTCCCTCTTAGTTTAGTGAATAAGGGTGAAGGTCTGCTGACTTCCATCACCCAATCATGTGTCAGCAAAAATACTATTATTTTTATTTTTCTTACACATGATTGAGTATTCTTTGCGAAGTGAAACTTCATTATTCATTCATCAAAGCTGAGCTAAACATACCTCCACTCCAGCAATTTGACATCAGCAGGCTCCCTCGCCAGCAATGGCATCTTCCCCCTGGCTTCTTCTGGGATCGGGATCTTCAGCCATCTTAATTGGTTGGCTGGGATTATGTAATTTATTCACCAAGCCACCAAGGCATGCTGAGAATGTAGAATGAGCTGTGCATATGCAGCGCAGGGCACACTCTACAGCAACTCACTAAAGGTAACAAGGTTTTATTCCAGAAGAGATGTAGTAAAAGTGTGTCTTCTATAATGTAAATACCTTCCTGTTTGCAGTGTTTTTTAAGCTACAGTTCTGCTTTAAGACATAAATTATCTTTTGCCAAGGGGCGTTGGTAGACCCTGGCTTCCAGGGCACATGCCCAGAGTCATTTCCAGTAATTGCTGCTGCCATACTAAGTTTGAAACTCTCAACATTTAATCATTATTGGGAGAACTTTTTCTTTTATATCCATGCTACACTCCTAAAATATATCCGCACAGCAAAACATGAAAATGCTCAATATGTGACCATGTGTTACCTCCAATATTATATGTCTTGCTGAAATGCCCATGTAGATCTATAACATTGAAAATGTCAGCAAACATGAAGACTAAAGATCACATACCAGCTTCTGCTCTTCTGGCCGCTTCCTCTGCAAACCTAGCGCTCCTTTGCATGACAGATACCGTGGAACTGAAAAAACACAAACAGTAACTCAGGATTACAAAATGTGAGGAGATAAACCTAAATTTATAGAACGAGTAATGACCTAGCAAATTCATAGTCCACTCTCACTGTAGAGAAGAAAAGGATGGAAAAAAACAAAACTTACTTTTTGCTTACTGACACCTGTGGAAGGGGACAACCAGTGAAGTACAATGCCTGGATTGAGAATGGAGCAGATATCCCAGTGTGATTGGTGAGGATTAGCGTCCGTTGCACTTTGCTCTGCAAAACCACATCTGATCCAAAATCTAGCTGCAGTTCTTGTGGAGACGAGGGGGCTGTATCTTTTAAACTAATGAAAGTTATGTTAATTCTTGAAGCCAATTTTAAGGCTAAGTTACAATAACAAGTTGAAAAAGAATTGTCTATAATATAGCTATTGTAAGTAAAGTCTCTTTTAACTATTACGCCCCAAAATGGCTTCATAACATGCAGGAACCAGGACTGGTTTTTGTTACAAATTTGCTACTTAAGATTACATTGGTTGAAATACCTTTAGAATTGCATGTTGGACATAATGTTTACCATATTTTTCAATATATTACCAAGTATTTTATTTTATGTGTTCACCCTTTACATCAAACCCTGTCAAGTGGATCTTATCAAATATCACAGCCACACATTAAGATTACACAGCCAACGCAAGTCACAACCGTGACTCTCTTTGTTTGATGGCAGTTGTATGTTTATTGCTGTTTCTACTGTTATGTTGTGGCACTAAAAGTGCATAATGTCTTTATAAAACCAAATAAAAACTATTTTGGAAGATTACACAACCAATTTTAGACAAAAGCCACCTAACAGTATTCTTTTCAGCTGCGGGGACAATAAAAACTTTGATAAAAGCCATGAAATTTTGGAGCATATAAACTCTATGCGCATAGAGACCTTGTGTTTCAGTACTAATCACTATTTATCAGTGGGGTTCATATAAACTGGAACTTTCAGGCATATAAAGCACAATGGTAAGCGCTAAGTGACCACTCCTGAAGCCGACTTTAACATAAAAGGACAGTCTTTGTTCAGCATAAATTAAGCATAACAGTTCATTCAGGAGTCTCATCAAGACATTGTGGTTGGTCTCACCGACATCTGTCTGTCCCATACACTCCCCGTGTGATAGTCCCAGGACTTTACCGTATTTCTCTGTGAATACAGTCCTCAGCACTGCTCAGCAGCTTTCCTCAGCTCCAAGCGATTCAGTATCCACCTCTCGTGGGTCACTGTCCCTCTCTGTCTCCCCGACAGGTATCTCAGGGTCACCAACCCTCTGGACCTCTCCAGCCTTCCTGGCTGTGTTCCTTGTGCTCACGCACGCAGCAGAGTCTGCCTGTCGTCGTGTGCCTCTTGCACACCCACAACTCTCCTCTGAGCACTGGGCTGGCTTCCTAATAAGGCTGCTCTCAGCCACCTGTTCAGTCCAACCTGGCCACTGGCAGCACCTGGTCCCAGGACTGGAGATCCCATCCCACTATTAGTCTGGAAAACCTGGAAGGAATTGAACAGCCAGTTCCTCCTCTCCAAAGGTATTCACATTGTGGAACCTCTCAGCCCCTCTGGCTGAGAGTCCTGGGTGCCAAAGTTGCCATACTACACCGTGGCATTGCCATGCACTGCTGCAATGTTTTTTATCTGTGTTTTTAGCTGTTGTCCTAGAGTTCATCTTTAAGAGAGCCTATTACTACACAACTGATGATATTGCCCAGTGCAAGCAAAAGAAAAAGATTGAAAGAGTCAGTCCATTCAAATCTGATGTTTGAGAATTAGGTAAACACTATGCTTAAGTTCCCAGGTCTGCACAACTGCCATGCCCATTATACTGGAGTCCCTCATTGGATGTTTAAAACATTTTATTCCATAAAGGATACACAAGTAGCAGTGAGAGAACGGAGCTGAGTTCATTAGCAAAGAAAGCTCACTGATGTACACACCAACAGATGTAAGATGTCATTGTAATACTTACTATGTTGCATCCATAATAGAACAATTTTTTGGGTGGACTGACCCTTAAATCCTTTACAATCATGAAATAAAACATTTCTAAATCAATATATTTATCTATTATCTGTACAAAAGCCTAGTTACTGTACTGTGTGCAATGGAAAAAAAGTGAAGCGAGTTTGGTGTGCTGTGAAGAACACATCATTCATTAGGAGACAGACAGAAATCATTGCTCACCTCTCTTCTCCATCAGGAAGGGAGTAGGTGACGTGCAATCCTCGGGCTTTTGCTTTTAAATTCAGAACCAGAGGATCCTTCATATCTTCTACCCGGCAACACAAAGCCACATCATTCAGTTCATCCTAAACACCAGTACCACTAGAACTAGTTAGTGTTTTTTATAATCAGAGAGCATTGTGAAATTATCTAACATTATCGCTTTCCATCAGGCAGTATAGGGCTGTGCTCTGGGACTTTTCCTTCTATTCAGGACATCTCTTCTCATTGCAGTAAATATGTCTATACAAACAGCAATCATCAGTAAGTTTGCATATTAAGCATAGGGATATCCAAAGCAGAACGGAAGGAAAAAATGTGGTATAATAAGTACTATGTTCTGACAGTACATGGAGGCAGCTGTGTGATCTTGCTATCAGTTCTGTACTGCACCACAAACATGTACACACACACAAACACATTCTCTTTAAAAAAAGGCAGGCACAAACAGAATATAACCCAGGATTTCTAATTCAGGATATCACTGGCAACCGTCCTAGTTTCAGAACCTGAGATACATGTTTATTAAGTAACAGCACTGCTATTTGAAACTAAAGAGGTTCTGTCTAGGCCGGTGTTCTACTATTATTTAGCATAGAATTAAATACCAAACAAGTGAACCATGAAGACAGTCAATAATAACATCTCTGATTCCAATTGGCCTATAGAATAAATGTTAGACAAAAATGATTCAGGATCCAGACCACCCAACAGTGATATTCTAGTTTTTTGTGGATGCCAGATACTGCAATCACCTAATGGTATCTTATAATTCTTGGGGACTCTGACAGTGATATTGTGGCCTACTCTTTCTGTTGGATTATTAATTTATTCTATAACACAGAGAATGCAATGAGAGGAGTGGGAACACCACAAGGTGGGCAGAAACAGCGCCAGGATTTGTTGTATGTAGATTTTACTGCTGAAGTCCCAATGAGATATGAGGCCACAAGGTGACTCAGTCTACTTATCCCCAACTATAAATGAACTATAATAAGACCAACTGTTTAAAATGATCAACATGAACGGGTTTAAGGAAATAGAGTATATAGCAAAGTAAACTTTGTTCAGAGGATAGAAATATTAGTTGTATAGATGTAGGGTTTGTAGTACAATTTGGGAATGGTAGCTTACCAATGTATGAAGTATCAGAGTCACACACACCTCAGCCTCTTCATTAGGTCCTAACAGGCCACTAGGTGGAGTGACAGTGGCCGAGTATATCATGGAATGACTATCAGTCAGCTGCAGATACAAAGTGTTATTTTTTAAGCCAGCAAAAAAATGGAAAACTATCTCTCTAATCTACATATTTCATATTCTATCATGTAAAGTTCTTTGGCATGCAACCAAGCTTTTTTTATGTATTGAGGATGACATTTCTACAGTTCAGTATCCAGGTGTGACAGTCACAAAAAGGTCCCAGTCTTCCTGCTGGATTTTTATTTTATATTAGATTATCATACTGCATATTGAAGAAAATGCAAATGCACTCGGTTGTAGCTAGAGGAATATGGTAAGATATGTGGGAACTGTTATGAAAAGTTCTTCAAGAGATGATAATTTAGCTGATAGAATCTGATTCCATCTACTACTTATACAGTATATAACTTGGATAAGTAGTGCACTGACCCTTTTATGACCCTTTTATTAGTTGACATAAAGCTACACAGATGACAATGTTATTTATAAGTGGTTTGCTATCTGGTGACAGTGAAGTAATTGTGTCTATTTGTCTAATATGTGATCCATGTCCTATTGGAGAGAATGTGTGATATATATTCTCATACAATCCAGGTTACTGCCAGTATGGTGGTCCAATGTTTTGACTCTCTCAGCCTGTTGCATGCCAAACTATATTATATCATGTTATAACAAAGTTACCTCTTCCCATGAAAAAGATGCTGGGAGTCGCCCTTGGTTGAACATTTTTACTGTAGACTGAGCAGGGACACCAACATAGATTTCAGGAAACACTAAGCAGCTGGAAATGAGACAAGCCTGGGGCACCTGGACATCAGCAACAACTGGCAAGTAGCTGAAATAAACACAAAAGAGTTAACTGAACAAGTACTTCTATGTAGTGGCAACAGTCATGATGTGCTATAGTGGTAGATAAAATCAAACAATAAAGTTACAATATGACTGGTGTTCATAAGCTTCAAGTGTTCATGTCATTTCAATTCTACTAGGAAGCAGCTTCATGTTGTTGCATCATTACAAAAAAGCTAGCAGGAAGCACCACATGCGTACATTGTCACAGTACAATATTGGTTCTTAAGGCAAATGATTGAGTTCATAGGTGTGAGTGGGTACACCTATGTCAGACTGTGTAGAGAACATCTACATATTAGCATTTTTCTGCTCTTTATTAGTCACTTACCTCCCTTCACTATTCTCCACTTTCAATTCCAATACTGTATTTAGCCTCTGACAGGTCAATGGCTTAAACAGGACGGAAACCTGTGCTGTGCACAAAGGGGCTAACACTCCACTGTCAGGAGTAATGGAAAATTGGGAATCCTGTAAGTGCAAACAAGTGTACATGATTTAGATCATTTATATGGCAAACTGTGCTAAAAAAGCTTTTACTAGGCATCTATGTTTTCAATGTGTAATATTTTTACAAGGCAGCAAAAGGAAGCTGTTACCATTAAACCTGTCATTGTGGATGTGCACAAAACTTACACAAACATGGCTTTGTGTGGCTGAGCACAAAACTCACAACAGATGCTTTGTTGGTTTTGATTTAATTGTGTTGTTTCTTGCGTTATAAAGCAATGATTCCTTCTTATAAGATCTATAGGCCTGCCAGAAAGAACTGATACAAAAAAGGTGTCAGCAATGTTACTTTCTGCAAATGAGCCTACATGGGAAAAAGGAATCTGCTTAGTCAGGCCATATCTGTGTGCACATTGTGACCTCAGCTGACACTGGGGCTTCGGATCCTGGAAGAAAAGTCTATAGGCTGGGATTGATATTAGAAGTGATACTCTATTGTTATAAAAGATAAGAGCAATCAGAAGTATATTCTGTATATCCTACAAGCATCCAGACTATTAACCTTTCATTTCACATATTATATTAAATAATAAATAGATGAAAGTTCCACATGGTACAGGATGCAACATTTTACTTCACACTCTGCTGTGGTTACTTTTTTTTGGCATGTTGGTGGGTGAACAACATAACGTGAAATGATAAGCTATCTGTGTGAGGTACAGCCTCTGAATTGCTGCCTCTACATTCAAAGTCAGTTAGGACCTATGCCTCACATAGATGATAGAACCCAGATGGGTCAGATGGCAATGGAAGTGAGGAGCCAGCTTCAAAGACCCTGCAGAGCGGCAAATACTGATGGGTTGTGGAGACATTTTTTGCAATGGCAGTTACATAGGCGACCAGCCAACCTGTCAGTTTTTTACTTTAGATAGACTTTAAGCTGAGCAGTACCTTACCTGCCTTCATTATGTGAAAGTACGTGATAAACAAAAACACATTAATTATTATTAGGTAATCTATCATATACAGGCAGTATGTCAGTGTTGATGGCCCATGGATGTATGTGACATTCATATCTTTAAAAAGACTCTTTCCAATGGACAAAGTAAATATATTCCAGACCACAGATACAAATAGGTCCATGATGAGTATTATACCATATAAATAAAAATTCCTGTTTAACATCAATTACCTCTACTCCTCTTTCAGTAAGGCAGGCTCTGCTCTCACACATCTTCCACTTTGCAGCCAGTGAACTCATATTTTCAATGGTAAAGGTACTAAGAATTTTATTACCCAGCTTTATGAGTCCCAAGTCAATCGATGGGATGGCTATTGAAACCACTGGACCCTGCAAAAAGATAACAGCATAAAGTGATACAAGTATACCGGGACAGATAAAAACCTGTTACAAAATTTTACAGACTTGGAAAATGAAGCTAACTGGAACTTTTAGGGCTTGTTAACACCAGCAGCCGCACATAGCCACACGGCTGCTGGTGTGCATGTGCCTGAACAGTGCCAATTCACTCAATCGTGCCGCATTGCACGGTTTCTTTTTTTTTTTATGTTAGAAATCTATTGAAATGTCACAAGTGACATTTCGTTAAGTTTTATAGACACGCCATGGTGCGTTTAAAAAAAAAGTGCTGCATGCCATACTTTTTTTAAGCGCACATCACCACAACGTGATGATGTAAACTGTGCCTATCCATGACAAGGCAAGCTGCCTTCTCTTACATTCGGGCTGCGCTAGAAAAAATCATATTACAATCATTAAAGTGTGTGAGACAAGAAGCGAGAAGACAGGAAAAAAACTATTTGGTGTACTGGAACACTATAACCCCTTCAACTTTTTATTGTTGTATGTGTCCCTAATGCAGATTTCTCTTCCTATCTGGTGAAACCACTATCATTGTGACAGCAAGTTAGAAGTAATCGCTCAAACCACCTTAAATAGGAGTAAAAAATAGCATTAAAAGGGGTTCTAATCTTCCCCACTCTATCCAAAACACACACAAAAAAAGATGTTTGGACTGAACTAACTAATATACAGCATAAGAAATAGAAAGCTGTATGATAATGTAGAAATATGCTGGAGGTTGGAGGTTGGATATAATAACTTTCACAATTTCACACTAACAATGCTTTGTTTTCACAGATGAAAACTTATGTTAAGAACTATGGTGCTTCCTATATAATATAAGCAAAATTATGTATTGGTAACCAAAAATTAATAAGAATCTTAGTTTAAGATTCATTTATTTATTAAAACATGTACATAACATGATCAGCGTGTTACATTATCCTTTCCAATACTTTGAAATATTTTGTTCAATGGCAAGTGCATTAGTATATCAAGATAAAAACCTTAAAATTGGCTTCCACATGTAACACCACCGGTTCCAAAGAATGTAATATGTGGCAATTCACATTCTCTCTACAGGATCCAGATTGTAATCCAGTGATGATCAGTTCAAATTCACAGAACTTACCGGGCTCTGAAATGGAGAACATAAAAGAACACTGCTAGATGGTCATTGTATTTATGGTTATCCCTATTTTAGGGGTGGGGGATGAATACGCTCCACTTTTTAACACCTGATCCTCGATACTGTTTGACTCATTATCTGATATGTACGACTTCTTTCTATTGTTTTTGTACCTAATATTTTGTATTTTTGTAAAGTTCTCAAAATAAAGAATAAAGAAAAAAAAACGACGGAACTGTTGGGCCGAAACAATTGTAAAATGGACATAAGAATGCAGCACGAGGACAAAACACAGGAAGTTATCAGTTGACAAGATTTCTAGCAAGATCAACAGGCATTTTTTGCACTTATTGAGCAAATAAAAAAAAAAATTTAAAATTATACTTAACAGGCCAAGGCAGACCAAATAAGATAAATTAATAGTTAGAGTTTACATAACCTTTAAGATCATTCAGTTTACGTTCAAATAAAGATCTGTTTACATATCCCACAGGGTGCTTAATAGGCCTCCCTTCTGGCAATGAGCACCCCCAAGGACACATTAGTCCACTGCCCCTTTTCCTGGTGTTGTGAAAACCCATTGTTCCCTCCCCTGCACAGAGTCTGTATATTCCTCCTATATAGTGAGAATCTAGGCAGTTAAGGCAATCACTACATTGATCAGTCTGGATCAACGGTTGCTCCTAGGTCCTTGACTTTTGTCATTTTTCATATTCACAATAATCAATCAAACATAATACACAAAACAACAATTAAAGGAACTCTGCAGATACCAATAGTTCCATTGTGTGGCTCAATCTGGATAATGTTCGGAGATGTGATGGTATCCCACTCAAACTGGACAGAGGATATGCTGTTATTCCACATCTACAAGACAAAATATATTTTATGTGCTTCCATTGTAAAATGAACCTGAAAACAACGCTTGATGCTGTTTTCACATATTTCATGCACTTTTGCATGACTATATGTTATAAATTAGTTTGTAGGAGCATAAACTGTAAAAGACAACACAATCAGCATCTTTGCTGAATGACTGATAGAAAATGGATGCAGTATTGTAAAGACTTTATTTACTAACTTACTAACAAAAAAACAAAACTATCTACTGTAGATTCCTGAATTGAGGCAGAAGCAGTAATACAGATTGGTGCTACAAAACAGAATAGTGTTACTGCAGAAAGATAAACATTACTATCTGTAATATATAACGGAAAAATGATCAAATTGTATCAAGTAATGTTACAGGTACCACCACGTGTTAGCTAAATGTAAGCTACACATGTTTATGTAGAACGCATGCTATAGACGCTAAATGCCTTGTATGAACTTTTTAGCTTTGCTGCATGCAGCACAGTGACTATTGCTAGGTGTCGCTTATATCCTCCTGGGTTTCTGTCGGTTTCCTTTAGGTGTTCTGGCACACGTGAATATGAACTTTAAAAGATCAGTGTACTATAAAGGGATCCTTTCAGGTCACAATGGGAGCATGAACTGCTTTACCAGGTTTTCTAAGATGCATGTTGCAGGGCTGTCTTTCTTATCTTTTTGTCACCACTTAGTGAGTTCCTGACCTGGAACAAGCGCACGGGCTGTGATGTGTCAAGACAACTTATACTCACATGCTACTTCCAGGTAACTGAACAACCAAAAGGTACAAGAAGGAGGAGGATAGCATCCCTTAAACATGTAAAACTAACTCAGCAATGGCTGTTTCTATGTTTCTATCCTGACAGGTGCCTTAAATAAACATGAATTGAATCCTGTATGTAGAAAGGGACATCTTTGTTTACATGGAACTGTCCTTTGAGTGATAACTAATGTGCTGCCATGTATTTTATGGTTATGATTCTACAGTATGTGACAAGGGAAGGAAATAAATGGCATTCACACAACACTTCCGATAGTATAAAACAAGAAAAGCCAATAGATGTATTTTAAATTGAGTAAATAATATGTTAAGAAGCTAAAAAACAAACTTACTATGAACCTCTTTCTCATATTGGTGTCAATAAAATTTTCTCCAGAAAAGATGATTGCATAAGGCTCCAGAACTATATGAAATGGCTCGGTGGTCCCTTTGAACTCCAGATCGAGCACAATGACATCATTTAGTGCAGGAGCCAGTTCTGAAATGCTCAAAGGATGTTTTTTTGCACTGAAAAAAGAGAACACACACATATAGCAGAGTGTATAGTGACATAAATAGACATTCACTGATGTAAAGCCGTCAAATCTGGGCAATTCAGGGTGATGAAAACGCATAGGCAGAGATTACCAATAAGCACAATTGCATAAGTGCATTAATGCATAGATGAGCAGTCTATTCAGAAAAAATAAAAGCCATCTGTGGTCATTAAAGCTGGCCATACAACAGCAATTTTGTTTTTGGAATGTTCGTACGATTTTGTAATAGTTAATGGGGTGAAATCGACGATCAGTTTCACAGTAGTGACGAAAAAAATCAAAGAAGCAGGATGGAAAATGTATCTCATGAATGAAAATCTGACAGTGTATGTAGTTTTTGTTTGAGAAACTCCCTTAATTTCCAAAATCAAATGTTAAAATAAAATTAACTTTCAAACAACGTTCTACAAGTCTGACAGCATTATCGTACTATTTTGTACAAAAATCTACCAGTGCATGGCTTTAGAATACTCTTGTTTGTTGTTCTGTGGTTATATCTTTGTCATAAATGTACCAGCAAGGAGGACTGTTGAGATGGAAAATTGGTGTTATCACAAATTAGATTCTTACCTTGGATTCTCTGGAATGTCACTTAATACCATCTGAGCCACACTGTGATATTCAATTAGCTATACATAAAAAGATAAAACATACATAAAAGTATACATTTAAAGCTTCACTGCGGCCATTTTTCTCAAAAAGCATAAGCATTAAACATACTCAACTGCCGGGGCTTTGAATTAACTAGAAACTTGACACATCGTATTTTTCTACTGACTCATATTTATGGGTTATGTACATACATTAAGTTACTCTGCGTGTAATTCTCTATAAGGCGCGGTCCATATTTTCCTGTGGAGAGTCCATTGAAGGGCACAAATAATCTGTAGTGGACACACAATGAAAGCATGCAAGGAACTCACAGGTCATGGATTTAAAATGAGCTAACCCTACCCCTGAAAAACAAGCTGTCAGTCTAAAGTGAATGGGGAAGTCTAACGAATGGAGGAAAAAAGATAGAATCTAAGAAAATTCCCATGGGAAACATTGACAGCTAATGTACATGCACTTTAAATTGAGACTGACCTGGACTGAAACATTTAGAGTGTAACAACAGTGCAGAAGTACAGGGATCTTACTTCAGCACAAATTATATTTGTTAATGTCATAGTAATCTTAGCAGTTCCTTAAATCCTAGGCTCAGGTTCAACATGGACCCTTGACTTCTGCCCAATGTAAGATTAAACTACATCCTCTCCTGACAGTAAGCCCCACCTGCTGTCATATCAATATCCAATGTGATAACTTCAGTAGGTAGACAAAGCTTTGGCATTTGTCAGTTGAATGACAAGGGATGGGTTTAGTGTCCAGAGGGGGATAAAGCTTTTTCTTGACTTGCTTGGCAGAATTCAAGGCTTTATTTACAACCCGAGCCTAGGATACAAGGGGATCAAACTGAAGACTAACACAGGTACTTGCAGGCACCACGCTATTGTTACCATAGAAATTTAAGACAGGTTAGGTACTTTCTAAGTCTTATTTTATACCTCAGTTGGTGTGTACATCACTGTGAACATGTGGTCTTGATGAGGCTGGAGGATGCCTTGCACAGGGATAATCATAAAAGCAGGGTTTGTGTCAATATTATTTCTAATTTTTGCTACATCCACAGTTTCTCCTGGTTGCAAATCTTGGAAAGTTGGCTTCATAATCTGCCAGTAGAATGGAAGCTCCACATGCCTGATAAAACATAACATGCAGTTAGAAATAGATTACTGACACCGGTAATTAGCATGGAGTATATCGGATAAATCTACTTACGTTGTGTTCCTAATGACAATGTTCTTTTGCACTGTGGAATGTAAATTTGTACTGGGAAAACATAATGAATGTTCAGCTTCGGCATCAGTAGGCCCATCAGGACATGAAATGCTTTTACCTTCACTGACAGACACCAGCTCTAAGCCCACAAGCTGCCCATATCCTGGTAACAGAAGGAAAAACAAAATACTGACAAAATGACATATGAGATACATTAGACATACATAGGCTAATGTGTTACTAATGATGATATATTTGACAATTCTAGCTCAAATTATGCACTGCCAGAGTCTCTAGAACAATCGTTTTCCCTGATGTAAAGCAGCATAAGGAAAGGGAAGTGACTATTCTATGGAGATAAGGAATTCTGTTCTGAACAATTACACAGATGTTTCACAACTATGCAGAAGTTGTATGATAAGAAGCTTTTCCAAAGTTTTAAAGAGTTACTCTGCCCGCCAGGGAGCTGCACTTTCTTTGTTTGTCCTGAAATTGAAGAAAAATAAAAAATTGTGAGAAGTTATCAGAACAAAATTAGAGGGAAAAACTTCCAATAGGGACCCTTGTTCTGGTGACAACTTTCCTTGCTTTGGATGGAATTTCCTTTCCTGTGTTGTCTACAGGACAGGAAGTGAGGGAAAATCACACGCACAGGTGGCAAAAACAGGGGTTTTAACCATTCCCCACCATATGCAAATTTAAAAAAATATTTCAAAAATTGGCTGGTTTTCTGTGTTACATCCCCCACCCCTTTGTTTTGTTTTTTGCCGTTTTCTCCTTGTGTTACTGTTATATTCTTGTAACATGAAAATTAAAAAACAAAAAAAACTTACATTGGACTAAAAAAATGTTTTGTCATTTGATTTAATTTAACCTCTACACACAAATTATGAGGAATAATTTTAATTTAAAAAGAGGCAACAAGCAATGGCAGCCTCCATACTGCCTCATAAAGGTTTCCTCCAAGCAAAGGGGAATCAGGAGAATCTGACATCATTCAAACAAAAAAAACCCTTCACAGCCTAGTTACAGCTTGTGATGTTTGGATCAGCAACATAACAAAGGAGAAGTGGGCCATGTATGGCTATCTTTAATAAGGTGATACGCTGGAAGATCTGTCACTTTTTCCAGCATGCTGAAAAACATCTGAGAAGCAATACTGCAGACTTTTCCAAAGTGTCATGATTTGTTATTAACCCCGCCCAAGCTAATCAGATTATGGCATCATTAGTAAAAAGGGTAGCAGATGGACATCATTACAAAGTTCTCTCTTAACACACCTGTCAGTGTGAGGTCCTTGATCTGGCAGTTATCACAGACAATGGTGAAATCCTCACTGTAGGTGTCCAAGGATGTAGGGTAGAAGACAACCTGCCAAGGGCAATAATTATTAATAATTATTATTAATTATTAATAATTATTAAGTGCAATCTATACATATACTGATATATATATATTCCTAAACCTAATGCAATCAGTCTAATGATGGCTACACACATATTGATATGATCATTCAATTGACCACTTAATGGGGAAAAACAGATCAAATCACATTCAAATCAAGCTCATAAAATGCACCACCAAACCAATAATGGCAGTAGATTGACTGAGACATGTCAATTGACTGCTCAGGAAAAGTATTGATGGTTTGTTATCTTATTGTAAGTAGAGGCTGTGCAAAATATTAGGGAACTGATTGTAGATACTAATCGATTATGCAAACAAAATGCAAGTTGCTAAATTTTTTCATTTGGTATTGAAGAGTGATTGGCAGCAACGGGGGTATACGTGTGTGCTGTGTTGTGCAATAATTCAATAGAGGAGGATTGCTCTAATCTCAATCGATCATAAATTACAAAGTATATGGTTAACAAATCAGAGAGGCATTTGAAGCGAAAGTTACTAACCTCAATAACAGTTTCTTGTCCAGGATACAGTTCAAACATGGCTGGGTGGATTCCGAAGGGTGCCTGCTCAACAAATCCGGCTGTTGCTATACTCTTTAAAAGACATTATACAAGATGTTATGTTAATGTCATAGCCAACAGCAAACTGATATACAGGTGAAACTCGAATAATTAGAATATCGTGCAAAAGTAATTGCAGTAAGTTCTGCAAAAGGGGCCCAAACCAAGTACTTTTCAGAGGTCCGATATTGTTCTATGTACAATCCTTGTTTTATTGATTGCATTTAATATAATGTAATGAGTCTATCTCATATATTAGTTTCACCTTTTAAGTTGCATTAGTGAAATAAATGAACTTTGCACGATATTCTAATTATTCGAGTTTCACCTGTATGTAATGTTATCTTTGCCTTCTATTACGTAGTGCTGGGGTTAGAGGCTTAAACTTTGTGTATATTCTCTCATTGGATGGGGCAGTGAAACTTCTCTGTATGTGGCTACCGACTTGAGTGTATACTGTGTGGCAGGACAGTGCATGTATCTATGGTGATTGCTGTGCTTGGCGCCCAGGACTCTCGGCCAAAGGGGCTGAGAGGGTCCAGAAAACATACTGTGTTACAGGGAAGGAGCTGGATTTCCAGTTCTTTCTGGGTTTTCTGGAGTATAACTGGGATCTGGGTCTCTGTAGATTTCTAAAGGTGCCCATACACTGCACGATTCTCATGCGGGAATCGCGGGAAATCCCGCCATTGTACGATAATCGTGCAGTGTATGGAAGGCGTGCAACCGTTTCTACTGTACGGTCGCACGTCTTCCGTCAAACAAGCAGGCTGGAAAACCCACCGGGAATCGTACGATTCTCGGCGAGTTAGTGGCCTGCTTGTTCGACAACTGCCGATCGGGCCGGTGTGCGCACGCGCACACTGCCCGTTTGCAGTCATCGGAAGCCCGCCCCATATTGATGTCATCGCAAGTACGATCTTCCTGTCCAAGATGGGCAGATCGTACGTTTTTTTAAGTACTTTACAACCCTCGCAAGACAAAAGTCTTGCGAGGGTTGTAAAGTGTATGGGCACCATAAGAGTCTTGGGCAGGATGAAATCTCCAGTCCTGGGCCGAGGTGCAGCCAATTGCCAGGCCAGACCATCCAGGTGGCTGATAACAGCCCTATTAGGAAATTGGACAGAGAGAAGGAGGCAGTCAGTGGTGCAGGAGTTGGTGTGGTGTGGTGTGGGCTGCAGGCACATGAGGGCTCCGGCTGGGTAGAGGGACAGGTTGTGTCCGGAAGCCAGAGTGGTTGAGTGTGTGTGTGTGTGTGCGCTGGAGGCACATGAGGAACAGACTGGGGGGCGGGAAGGCTTGGAGAGGCAGAGAGAGCCAGGCACCCTGGTGTGTGGGTGTGAAATCAAAGGCTGCTAAAAGATGCTCAAAGGCACAGAATATCCTTGAAGAGATTCTGTTGAGGAAAACAGTAAGGTCCTGGGACACTGAACAGGATAGCCTGTGAATGTTGAGCTGATATGTATGCTGAAGAAAGCTATTTTTGTGGGATTTCCTTTTTCTGCCTTTGGAATTAATAGAAGACTATCCTTTTTTCTGTGAAAACGGCTTCATGACTGGTCCTTAAGCGCTCACCATATGTGCTTGATTCTCCCCAATATCACAATTGCCAGACAGTTTTCATGTTCCACTGTCACACTGTCACCAGAACCAAAACAGGCAAAAACTTTTTATTTTATATTTAAAGACAAAGAGGTGATCAGGAACCCTTTCTCTTTCACCTTCCTACGTGCATCTGTTTCAGTATGTAAAATGTATACAGAATAAGAACGTTTTTATTATAACCAGTTATACATTAATGTCAAGCTTCTAACCTATTTTTGAAAAACAGCAGCTGGAATAAGACTAGTTGCTATAGACAACATTCCAACTTTCATTTCAAAGTGAATACAGAAAGAGGTCTTACTCTAAAGTTTGCTGGAGGCCAGACACTTTTGGGCATAATGCAAAATCTTCCACGATTCAGCCCCTCATTCCTGCAGAGACATTCAAAGACCTTTACTCCTCCGACTAGGCATGGACCACAGTCCAGAATCCGAGGCACTGTTTAGACAATCAACAGCAACCAGTCAATATCACCTAAAATGCAACTCAAGCCAAAATGTTTGTTTTTGTGCTTTGGATGGAGTGGGGCAGAGCTAAAACCTCTCTGTCAGGTTTTTATTACTATCTGTGTCTCTGTTGGGAAAATGACCCTTACATCCCATCCCTCTGACTACACAAATAATGGGAATCAATACAACTGGGACACTGACAGAATCTCTGCACAATGGACATATTCCACCCACTTCCAGTTCTGATCACCACACAGGACCTGAGTAGAAATAGACTAAATGACCAAAAGTTTGTAGACACCTGACCATCATACCTATATGAGCCTCTTGGGGGCTTCAATACCATGGGCACTAATATGGAGGTGCCCCCTTCCCTTGGAGGCTATAAGAGTCTCCAATATTCTGGGGCGGCTTTTTACAAGATTTTGGAGTGTGTCAGTGGGAATTTGTGCCTATTTAGCAAAAACCGCATTAATCCTGAACTGTTGCCAAAACATTGCTAGCAGATAATTGTTTCTGTACTCTATGCTGTAGCATTACTAGTATCTTTCACTGGAAACATCTGAACTCAATAAGTTGTAGGGATGTCCTAATACGTTTGGTGTATATGGTGTATCAATAGCAAGGAGAGCCATAAGAAGATGGCAACACAGAGGAAGAAAACTTACCTTTTAAAAGTAAAATAGGTCCTACAAAAAAACTGTATATAAAAGAAAAACTACAAACAAAGCAAGCTTCTGTGTCTATAAACAAATAGAATGATCTCTGCACGGCTCTTTGTTCTGATAATAATTTTTATAAAACAGTGAGAATTACAGAGCACACATATAATTCCATTCCTTACATGTTAGTACTGGAGGTGGCCGCCTTGCTTCAATAGGGACTAAAACTGGATATGGTGCTTGTGACTCCACCAATATGAAATCCTCAAAGTCAGCCAGAGAATCAGGAACAAACCGCACTGTGTAATGACAACTCATACCCGGTGCTACAATTCCGCCCTCTCCAGGAAACTTCCCTAGAAGCACAAATATAAGATATAGAATTGAGTATATAGAATGGCATGTTTACTTCTATTTAAGAAGCACACCCACATTTTTATATAAATATCCTGTGCACAAAATTAGCTGCCTGGGCAAGATTAAGCTCATTAAAAAGCTGAACCCCACTTTTCTTTATGTCCTGAAACATGCCCCTGTTTGGATCACTAAGCGGCACTTTACCCAACTAAATACTCTTGTCTCGTCTTTCCTGTGGGGAAGTGTGCCTCCCGGACTTAAATTAAAGATAATGCAATGGCCACTGGCCCTTCCTGATTTCTACAATGATTTCCTTGTAGGACAGTTAGTCCATGCCCATAACTATGTCTATTGACCAGCTTAATGCTGTGGTGGTGTTGGAGGTGGCCTCTTTAGGATCTTATGAATCTCCTCAGAATGCGCTTCATAAGGGCCCAAAAACCCCATATGGCCTTACGATCTCAATGAAAGCTATGCTCAAGGCTTGGTCAGTGGTGACTGCACAGCTGTCGGGGTCTCGGTTGGTCTGGTTGCCTCACACTCCTTTGTGGAGGAATTCTATGCTTCCTCGTTTCGTTTCTCTCCTGGATCCATCTATTTGGCCTCAAAGGGGATAAAGTGTCTGGGCCTTATTCTGCAGGTTAGCGCTCTGGCTTCATTTGATGTCCTTAAGGCTAAATATAATTTGTCTAACACCTATTTTTTCAGGTTTTTCAACGACAGCACATCTTCGCGGTGCAGTTTGGCTCTGAAGGCGTGGAGCTACACTCTACAGTAGTGGAAGTATTGCTGCGTGATGCATCCTTAAAAAAACCCTCTCAACTGTATACCAATTACTTCAATCCACTCATTCGCCCAACCAACTTGCCAATATGGGTCACTGGCTAGAGGTTGTTTCAGACCCACATAGGGATGATTGGGTGGACTTTTGAGACTATCCTCTCCCCTGTCTGATATCGGTCCAGTAACGCTGTATCCAATTTAAGTTCCTGCACAGAGATTATTTGACTCCGGAAAGGCTTTTCTCGGCACTTCTGTGCAGTGCTGTCATTGTCGGGTAGTAGGGTAGACTCAGCAGAATTTTTTTCACGTGTTTTGGACCTGTCATTAAATCAGGGAGTACTGGTACCCATTAGTTCCAGTAGGCCCTAACATTTCTTACTATCCAACTCACACCCCAATTCTGTTTGCTGGAGCTCATGAAAGAACTGACGCCCTGCAGTGGCCACCCACACTTTGTTGAGTATTTTTCTTTTTTATACATAGAAAGCTATCCTCCATTGGAAGAGCCCGAATGCACCTACTGTGGACAGATGGAAGGGACTTGTTAACTCTTTGTTACGCTTTTACAAAGCTATGTCTACTAGCAGAGGTTGTCCTCTGATGTTTGACAAAGTATTGGCACTATGGCTCAATAACATGGACATATTACCTGCCCTTTGATATGTTGTGATGTATTTCTATCCCTGTAATGCTCTGATTACCATTATTTTGTTGTGGGGTTTCTCTCCCTGTGCATGGTTGAGCACTTTTATTTTTCTTTCTTTTTTATCTGAACTGTGTATGGTATGTATTTTCTGTGGAGCAGTAACAATGGTCTTTTTGTTTGTAGTTTTTTATGGTGTAGTTTCTATTTGTTATGTATTTATTTCATGTAAAAAGTGAATGAACATAATAATAAAAAAAAAGAAGTGGTGTGAACTACTACTAACATTTATAACAGATAACATTGTAAAATATTATTCCAAGGTGTTATCATCTACTGTAGATCCACAGAGCATGCAAAGTGGTTTTTTTTTGGTTAAAGCTAAACAAGCTTGAACTGTCAGAAAATTGGGATATGCATTAATGTTCATTTTTTTCTTACCAAGCCCAACAGAGAAATATGCAGTAGAAGGAGGGATGATCCGCACGTGACGGCTTGATGCTGTCATGTTCCTCAACTCCACCGTCATCTTTATGTATTTAAACAGAGACGTAATCATTTACTTGTTATAGAGAACCTATATGTCTTTTAGATGAACTGTATATGTGAAAAAATCAACCAAATGCAATAATAATTTAAAACCCTTGCTTGCTAAATATAAACTATATTTTCTCTTTAAATATTGTAAAATTTATTTTTTTGTCAACTTTTCAAAACCCCAATGACTTTGTGCAAACTCACCTCATATATCTGTCCAATCTCATATTCTGGGAAGAAGATAACAGGTGGGTTAGCTAGAAATACTGGTATTGGCTCATTTGGATCGCTACAAATAGAACAAAAAAGTTTGCATTAGCATATTCATTTAATACAAAATCTCCCCAGCACACTAGTCAGCACAAAAATAACTAATTAAAACACTTTCAGCAATTGGGTTAAAAAAAACAGGTCTCTGTTTCATACTTGTGCAAAACATGTGAAGCCACACTGCCTCGTCAAGGTACCGCTAATAAGTGTGGTCCCTAACTCTAAACCATCTGAGCTTCCAACTATGGGACATACTGTAGATGGCAATAAATAAAGTGAATACAGCCTTTCCTTAAAGGAAAAAAAACACACCAGAAACCTAGATTTGCTCAAAGAAGCTGAAGACTCCAAGTATGTGTCTCTACCAATAGCAACAGAACACAAAATGTCAGCCGCTCAAATCAATTTATACTCTAAATTCACTGACATGACATTCAAAACTGTTTTTACTGAGTATTTCCCTAAAAACTAGCTAACTAGGGATCAAGTTGGACAAATAAAGACACCAATTTTTTCATTCCCATTTTTCTTCATTATTAGAGCAAAACTATGACCCAAATTGTGCAACTGCGGTAAGCATGTAATCTGCTGTATATGCAGAGCTACAACTGGTATTTGTTTTAGGTACAATCAAGAAATATCAGAGAAATAGGATGTGGCTGACCGTTACTTAGATTATAGAAAGTCTCTTGACTCCTCCCAGTAGCCCCTGCCCTTCACAAGGTCAGCTGCAATATGGCAGCTGCAAAAAGTGCTTTACCTCCTTTTACGCTGCTACCCTAGACACTAGCTAATACATGCCCCATGTAATGGCTATAATCAGCCATTGAGTGGGTACAGCTACAGAAACAACCCAATGATATTCATTTCTAAATATGTCAATGGTTTCTATTTCTAGGAACATACCAAGCTCTCACCTACTTCTTCAATGAACCTGTATTTCATAACACTGAAATAATATCTTACTGTTCTTCAATTACTCTTTTTCTTCCAGATATCAATGTTTCTCCTTTCTTTGTAGGTAGAATAAGAGACCTTCCTCCGTGCAGGCTGTTTGGTGGTAAAAAGCGTGGGTTTTTTAGGAAATTGTGCCGCTTCTCTAGTTTTGCCAACTGAGTACGTTGAGCCTCTCTGTCTTCAGCACTCAGCTCCGTCTTCTGTAAACTCTTTTTTGGTGTAGATTTCTAAAATAATTAAATATATATGTACCAACACTGAGAATAATATTAGAGCCTAACAATGACATGAAAATATATCTTACAGAAGAGAGCTGGATTTGTGAAACTCATTCATTATTCTATTGTGTACTTCCTATGATGACATCTAGAACCCATCTTGAGCATTGGGTCAGATAAATCTGTCTAGAAAGTTTTCTGTGCTACCTGAGTAACAGATTCAAACTCTTGTTTTCCTATTGTTGAACTGAAGTATCCTATTGTTGCTGTTTGCCTTCAGTTTTTTTCTCTGATTTTATTTAAGAATTCCACTCTGAGCTGTTTACTGTATGTGAGCCATTATAGATTAGAGTGTTTGATCTCTTAGAACCACCTTAAGGGCCAGTTCACACCATACGCAGTTGTGATGCAGTCCGTTTATTTGACTGCTGCATTCAAAATACATCTCAATGCTTTCCTATGGGCTATCTTGTGCTTAATTCACACTGCAATGGTGTGAATAAAGCACGAGAAAGCCCATAGGAAAGCATTGTGATGTATTTTGACTGCAGCAGTCAAATAAACGGACTGCATCACAACTGCATATGGTGTGAACTGGCCCTTAAGAGTGTCTTCCAATGTAACATTAAAAAGGCACAATCAGTAAGTAACATTTCAGTTAACATTTATTGATTTAAATAAATATAAAAAGCACTGACAACCACTTTTAAGTTAAAAATAATCTGAAGTCTCTGGTTTTATTTTACTGTATCTCTCAACTGCAAGGATCACATTGTCATTAAAATCTATTTACTGGGACTGACATGACTTCATTGCTGTTTGATGTGTGTTGGCAATCCCTGGACATCAGGCTTTGATGAATGAAGGTTGTATCTCTCTTTTTACTGATCCTTGCAGCTAAAACATACAGTCATGGCCAAAAATATTGGCACCCCTGCATTTCTGTCAGATAATGCACCACTTTGCGCAGAAAATTGTAGCAATTACAAATGTTTGGGCATTCTCATGTTGATTTATTTTGTTTGTATTGGTATGACACAAAATTAACAGCTTTTTGAATAAACAAAATGACAGCTTTTTGGTAAAGTCCATCATTCTACTGCTTTCAGAAAAAGAAACGAGGCCTTTAAAGTAAAAAAAAAACAAACCCTACCGTCAAACATGGTGGAGGTTCACTGATGTTTTGGGGTTGATTTGCTGCTTCAGGCACTGGAGGTCTTGGCTGTGTGCATGGCATTATAAAATCTGAAGACTACCAAAGAATTCTGTGGTGCAATGTAGGCACAGTATCAGAAAGTTGGGTCTCCGTCAGAGGTCATGGGTCTTACAGCAGGACAATGACCGAAAGCACACGTCACAAAGCACCCAGAAATGGTTTCAGACAAAGTGCTGGAGAGTACTAGACTGGCCAGCAATGAGTCCAGATCTGAATCCCATGGAGCATCTGTATGGAGATCTCAAAACAGCAGTTGGGAAAAGGAACCCTTCCAATCTGAAAGATCTGGAGCAGTTGGCGAAAGAAGCGTGCTCCAAAATTCCCGTAGAGAGGTGTAAGAAACTCATTGATGGTTACAGGAAGCCATTAATTTCAGTTTTTTTTTCCAAGGGCTGTGCTACCAAATATTAATTGAGGGTTCCAATAATTTTGTCCAGTCCATTTTTGGAATTTTGCGTGGAATGTGTCAGGTTTGTCTTTTTTGTTCTCAACTTGTTTGTGTCATACCAATACAAACAAAATAAATAAACATGAGAATGCCGAAACATTTGTAATTGCAATTGTCTGCGCAAAGTCGTGTATTATCTGACAGAAATGCAGGGGTGCCAATATTTCTGGCCATGGCTGTATTGTTGTAGGCATGGATTACAATTGTGAGGGTATACAAAGGAATCTTTATTACCAATTTGTGTTGAACTATTTAGAGTGGGATGGTCATACTTAACAAAATTATACAGGATGATACGCCAACATCTTTGAACGAAAGGAATCTACCATTCTATCTTCAATATTTAAAGCTTCAGGGAAAATGATTATTAACCCTTGAAGTGGGGCTACCCCCACACTGCATGGGTTACCTGCTTGTTTTGGTCTATGGCTGAAAATAACAAAGTTATACTCACCCGATCCTTGGAGATGGCCAGCAGTGACAGCGCTCCCTCCTGCCTCTCTCTTCCTATGCTGCAGCGATGGAATGTCCCTCAGTGTCCTCACGTTGTATACACTGTGTATAGAATGTAATGATTTACAGGACGTTAGACTGCTGCAGCAGAGGGAGAGAGGGGCTCCAGGGACCGATCTAAGTTCCAGTCGGTTTAGAGGATCAGGCAAGTATAATATTATTTTCCTACCTAGACACAAATGAGCAGTTAACCCTTGCAGTGCTGGGTTGCCCCACTGCAAGGGATAATAATTTTCTCTGGAGTTCTTCTTTAATTGTGTTATAGGCAGTGCAAATCATTTTTTGATTGGTTTATGTGCTGTATATAATTTTGTTCAACATGACTAATATTTTCTAGCACTTAGCAGTGTATTGTTGACAACTAGCCTTTATATTAGGCAAAAAAACAGTTTATTTGCCTGACAGTAGGGCCATGCTGTTTCTGTACATTGTTTTCAGATAGGGGATTATATGCAGGATGTAATTATTCTTCTTTAGAGGCTTATTTTTAAGCTTGCTTTTATTGAAGTTGCTTGTGCTGAACACAGAAGGTTTTTAACAAAATCATTTATGTTTCTCTTCTATTTGAGCATCTGTGTTTGATTATTTTAGTGAGGATCTATTGTTATATATTTAACCTTTAAAAATGTAAATGTGAACAGAGTGATAGGTACCTTGGCTGACTTGATTTGATTTTGTTCTTCAACATCGCAGGTAGATAACAATGTCAAGTTAGAGGAAGAGGCTTTTAAAATATCCCTTACTGCTATATCAGAAGCTGCTGGGTCACAGTAACCATCATCCACAGGGCTTCTGGAAATGTGTTGATGGAAACTGAATGTCTCTTTGTAAAATGAGGGATCTGAGAAGCCTGAAATATAAAACATTAAATTAACATTAATACTGATCATAAGCACTTATAGTGATGGGGTAATATTTTTAAATGTGCTTAAAGCATACCTGTCAGAATGCAAAAAATCCAAACTCAACCTCAACCTTCCTTATCCTAGGCTCCCTCCAATGTCTATACTCTCTCTCTAGATTTCTGCCACCTCTCCCTGAAAATCCTGGTAAGGAAAAGCATGTGATATGTCACCTTCCCATGCAGTGCTTGAGGCCTGAGTCTTCCCAAACCAAAGCACTTCCACATGGGACTGGGGGCGACCAGCAGTTGCTGGCAATCACACTGAATGACATATTGTATCATATTTGTAAGCATGGCTGCAATTTAAAGCAGTGGTAATTGTAAGTATAGGTACTGTTGTAGCTTAGTGATTAGACTGTATAATAAATGAGTAACTTAGTAGTGGGGTATTACGCAAAACACTGCAAGTGGCAATTAAACAGTAGACTAGATAACGGATATGGGGACGGTTCCTGTTTAGGAAAGCCCGAATAGCAGCATCCCTTAGAAAAAACATATCAGTCAATTTTAACTTTTAAACATCAATCAATCAATCAATCTTCGAGGAGTCTGTTATTACATGATTAGCTAGAAGAGTCTTTTTTGTGCCCCCAAGATGCTGGTTTCACTGTTCTATGCAGGGCTTTATGGCATTGTTATTGGACTGAGGGTGGTGGGTTGGGTTTAACATGGAGTGGGGGCTAGTCCCAAAGGTGAAAAATCAAGCCTATAGTAAAAGAACAAGTGAAACAAGTACACATTTTGCTGGCTTATAATGGATATACCAGGCACCTTCTGGTTCCTCCTCTGTGCAAACCTTTGAAAAAAATTTAAGTGGCTGACTGGTTGCAATAAAAAAAAATCACACATACAAAAGGTTCCTGAGCAAATCACCAAAAAGTAGCCAAATTGTGTTCATCAGGTGACACCAATACTGCTCCGACCTATGAAGCCTATAGCAGATACACAGGCTTCTATGGCTGCCGTGACACCCCTGCAATACACCTAATGCAGTACATACCTCTAGGAGCCTTGCTACTGTGATGCACATCAGTGATGTAGTCTTCAGGAGAGATGAGCTTATGTTTTTTAAGCAGATCGTTATTAACACACCATCTGAAATATGACTGAACTGTAAAGCAAACAGATACTTCTATGTGTTAGTTCTAGAAATGCATGATAATTAGACATATTGTAAAATCAGTGTTATATATGGTTTAGGAAATACTTGTTCCAAAAAAAAGAAAATAATGCTTGAACATATTGGTAAGGGCTGAATATGACAGCAGTTCCTTGTATTGGTTCAAATGTAACTGATTTCCCGTGACCTCCATGCCAGAATTAAGTGAGGACCCGATCCAAGGACTGCGTGTGGCCTGCTCTGCACTGTGGAGATCTAAACAAATTACACAATGATGTCATTGAGTGTGCAGCAGAGGCCCTTGCATACTTTTTCTGAACTTTCAATTGGAATGCTGCCAATCAGTTTTTAAATTTACATTTTCTATGTTGTATGGAAAAAAATGAAAGATAAAAGCTGATTGGTTGGTATGGCAACCACACCAGTTGAGAACTTGTTTCAGATACTTTTTAATAAGTGCCCCCTTAGTATCATTGATATTATTGATCTTGCATGCGGGCTTCAATACTCAGATATTGCTGAATTTACTTATTTGAATGTGTTCCATATCTGACTGGATATACTGTATGTGTTCATATGCAGATTTGTAGGTGCTGCACTACTGTGCCAAGCAGTTACATAGTTACATTACATACTTGTTAGGGTTGAATAAAGACACAGGTCCATCAAGTTCAATCTTTGGGTTGTGTGTGTGTGTTACAAAAATTACCTGTACCCCTGTATGGCCTCATTCACACACAACGCAAGAAAAATTGTATATTGCGTACATACGCGTCTATGAGCGTATATACGAGCGTATATACGTGCACTATATGCAATCCCAGAATGCATCACTCGTAATGGAATTTTTAATGTGCTGTACGCATATGTGCGTGTAAACACGCGTATATGCGCGTAAATACGCAGCGATACGCTGCCCGGACGCATCTCTGTTCCATTCTGTTTTCGCGCATATATACGCTACGCAAATATACGGCTCTATACGCGGCTGTGTGTATGGAGCCATTTATTTGCATAGGTTGCATATGGTACAATACGCACGTACGCGCGTATACGCGCGCATACGTGCGGCAGTGTTAATGAGGCCTATATCTTGTTCGCTGAGAAAAGTATGTGAACAAGGCCTTACAGAAACACCCCACTAATCCTTATTACAAAGCAAAAGGAGCTTCTGAATGTGTCTGCAGGTGGCATACTATGGTGATCCACACCTGAAAAAGTTCTATCATCTAATGAGAAAGCTGTTAAGACCACAATGGAAAAAGTAAACCACGCTTGAGTAACTCATTAATCTTATTTTCCTTTTTGAAAAATCAAGTGATATCACCATGTGTGCTGATATACAGTAGTTTAATGTACCAATTTTGCCATGCAACATGTTGTGCAACTTGATGAATCTGGCCCAAGGTGTCAGTACCTGGAGGTAGCCCCAGGTTTTGGTGGGTGTCTTCTGCTTCATTCTTCATGCAGTTAAGTATTCGTTCCTCCTCTGCCATAGCCCGTGCTCGTGCCTGGATGATGTGATGCTCCACCATATCAGACTCTGCCAGTCTGTGATCATACTCTGCACGAATCTAAGCCATCAGCGACAACAAAATAACTATATGGTTATGCTGCAGAATCTGTGTGAGAAAAGGTCACAATGCATGTACCGGAACCCTTGCCTCAGTAAAATTTGTTCCATGAGCCAACCGCGAGGTAGTTTTCTGCTCAAAACATTTACATTATTTCGTTTTATTGAGTCATAAATGGCCACCTAAACATCTCATTTATACACACAACAAATAGGGATGTGTCTCAATGCACAATAAATATACAGTATGTGTATAAAATAAATATGTACCTGCTGCAGCTCCTCCACAAACTTCTGATGATGAGGGTTGTCTCCTCCCTTAGACCGGATCAGATTAGCTCCTGTATCTTTACCAATGATTTCTCCAGTGTATACATTTTTGAAAAGGCTTGTCAATAAATGGGAAATATCCTAAAAGTGATAAATAGACATTTAATCATCTGAATAGTGGAGGCTCACCCTAGAAAACATCAATGAACTTTAAACAGCCATATAACACATATTCTTTGATGAATGCATAGCCAGTGGCGTCACAAGGTGGGTGCGGCCTGCACCTTGGTGACACCATTGGAGGCGGGACGACCAAAATGACTGACAGCCATTTTGGTGTCACCCCCTCTAAAAAGTCGACTTCACTGCGGGGTGTCACCCGGTCTCCGCTCTAGGTGGCACCCGGCCTTGGGGCGCCCCTGTGCATAGCACCATGTCTGACTTTTGTCTGTGCATTGGTTGTTCAGCAATCAGCATTGGAGAACTGCAAGCTATTACCAGTGACACCATGCAACTCATGCGACCCTGTGGTCCATTTACGTCTTGTGATTGCAAAGCCTGACTGGAAAACTCTTCTTCAGTGCCCTGATGCTGTTAAATACGTCGATAGCACGAGGGGGGCTGAGCAGCTCCATAAGTTGCATGGTGTTCCTGGTAAATGGCTGGCAAGTTTCCATTGCTGATTGTTGGACAACCGAGGCATGCTATGCAGGGTGCTATGCATGTGTTAATGTACGTGTGATTTATGGCTGTTTAAAGTTCATTGAGGATTTCTAGGGTGAACTTCCACTTCAAATATTTTAGAAAATGCAAAAATACAAACTATTAACAAAGTAGTGTTTAGATGTGGTGGCTGTGTTAGCTTTCTTTTCTCATTCTTTTTTTTTCTTTATTCTCATCTGGTGACCCTGCCAACAACACACTTCCTGTCCTAGGGTGTACGGTATCACTAGAAGAGCAGTGTTGTCACCAAATGTACAGGATGTATGCTAGGACTACAGAATACCTCCCCCTTTCCTCATCTTCACAACAAAGGGGGGTGGGAGGGGGGTGTTCTGCAGCCCACAGAGAGAACTGGAAAAAATGCTAACTGTTAACAGTCAGCAGAGGCAGAGAGCACAGGAAGTTATCAGCTCACTGGATTCCTCACAGGATCAACAGGTATTTGGGAGGAAATATGAGAAGTTCAATGTTAGGGTTTACATACACCGTAAACACCAATGGCAGTGTATTAGGGGAAAGTGACCAGGAGGGTGATGTGTAGTCCACCTATTGGCTGCAGAATATGACAGACCTCTTCACTGGTCAGTAGTTAGGTTCTATATAGATAGGAGCTCCTTTACAATGTCCTTCTCTTACCTGTGTCTTTTCAGAGGATGGTCTTGGCCAGTACATGGCGGGGTCTGGAGACTGGGTGACAGTGTGGAGAATCTCTTCTGTAGACATTTTGTCTTTGTGGCCGGCACCTGTTAGTTCTATGGAACAATGTAAAATAACACATCCTACAGATCAGTTTAGTGAGAGGTAAAGCTGAGTCAGTAACTAGCCCTAAACAGAACCTACTTGTCCCTCATGACAATCTGCTTGTCATGATACAAAAAATTATTTCAAACAAAACCGTATTTAACCGTGCTAAGAAGCGTTTCTCATTGGTCAGCGCGGTCAGCTGACCACGCTGACCAACAAGTGCTCGCCATTTGTGAGCGAAATTCAAATCCATAGCGCAGGGATGCACTGGACGGTAGTAGGGAGGATAGATAGCACACCTGTTCCGGCGGAGGGGAAGGCCCGTTTGCCGAAAGGCAAGTGGGGGGG